GAGAGTTTTATAGTGGCACGCTAAGAAAGGCTAAAAATTAAGTTCGACTGACTCTAGAACAAAGTGAATCTAAAAGTAGCACCTTGACCTCCGAAAATCACTTAAAAGTTTAATTGTTAACGCATTTTACAAACATAATGGTAATAAGCATATTAGTGCCTAACTACAGCTAATTATTAAATTAGTATCAATAGAAATCCCCTTAATCTCATTGATTCTCATTAAATAATCACGAATTAATTTCGACTTTAAAAGGCCGTCCGCGAGCCACCCGAACAGACCCCAACATGGCTTGGCACAGTTTTTTCGACCCTGTTTTTTTGACGGCATCTGGAAGAGCATAGTCGAATTAGTAGGGCTGCATAGTTTTGAAAGTTTAAAAAGTTAATTTTTAGGGCTAAAATTGGAGTCAAAGTTGTCGACCCTCAAAAATTATCTCGAAAGTTACTGAACCAAATTGGCTGAAAAGTTGGCACAGTACCTAATTTGGGATGCTGATCATTTCTCTAATACGTCGAAAAGCACGAAAATGAGCGGAACATGGTTAAATAGCGTACCCAAAACAGTTTTTCAGGGTTTTGTATTTTACGGGTTCTTGGCGGTCCATTGAAAATACCCTTAAAAGATGCGCAAAAATATTCTACATCGAATGAGGTATTTTATACCGGGCCGACAGAAACCCTACTCTTGCTATAAAGCATTTACTGCGCGCAAAACAGCCCCCCAAATGGGTCAAAAACCTCAAAAATAGCCAATTTTGAAATCGAATATATCAAACCATCAACTATAATAATTTTGTTGTGGTCTCCGTCTGTCTGTGTGAAGCCGAATTCAACTCGAAGGGGAAAGGAGCTAGAGCTTAGCTCTCTTCGGATTCGGATAGAGCGTGGTCAGAAACCCCCAAACTGATAAAAAAATTACGAAAAAGTTTTTGTTTAAATTATTAAAATTAACTTTGAAAGTGGCGCCTTAATAAAACGAGTGGGGGCCCCTCTCCCCGGGAGGCCACGCCCCCTTTCTCTTCGCCCCTCTTCCCCAGGCCCCTTCGCGCGCCCAGATGCCTTTTTGAGTTACTTTAATACTTTTAATACTTTTTAATTATGTTAATTAATTATTTAAATTATTTAAAGTATCTGAAGCCATCGGGAAGGGATTTAGGTAGTTTTTGAAGGGGATTTCAGCCATGGGGGGTATCTGAAGCCATCGGGAAGGGATTTAGGTAGTTTTTGAAGGGGATTTCAGCCATGGGGGGTATCTGAAGCCATCGGGAAGGGATTTAGGTAGTTTTTGAAGGGGATTTCAGCCATGGGGGGTATCTGAAGCCATCGGGAAGGGATTTAGGTAGTTTTTGAAGGGGATTTCAGCCATGGGGGGTATCTGAAGCCATCGGGAAGGGATTTAGGTAGTTTTTGAAGGGGATTTCAGCCATGGGGGTATCTGAAGCCATCGGGAAGGGATTTAGGTAGTTTTTGAAGGGGATTTCAGCCATGGGGGTATCTGAAGCCATCGGGAAGGGATTTAGGTAGTTTTTGAAGGGGATTTCAGCCATGGGGGGGTATCTGAAGCCATCGGGAAGGGATTTAGGTAGTTTTTGAAGGGGATTTCAGCCATGGGGGGTATCTGAAGCCATCAGGAAGGTATTTAGGTAGTTTTTGAAGGGGATTTCAGCCATGGGGGGTATCTGAAGCCATCGGGAAGGGATTTAGGTAGTTTTTGAAGGGGATTTCAGCCATGGGGGATATCTGAAGCCATCAGGGAGGTATCTAAGTAGTTTTTGAAGGGGATTTCAGCCATGGGGGGTATCTGAAGCCATCAGGGAGGTATTTTGGTAGATTTTTAACGGAATTTCGACCCGGAGGGGTATCTGAAGCCATCGGGAAGGTAGCTATGTTTTTGTGGGGGGGGTTGGCTAGAGGAGGTATCTGAAGCCATCAGTGTAGTTATTGCCATGAAGGCATCAGCGTAAGGTAGGGATTAAATGTGGTGGTGTAGAATATGGAGGGTGGCCCGAAGTCCAGCCGATTGCAGTCGCGAAGCGAGCGAGTCAGTTTTTTTCGACCCAGACACACACACACACAGACACTATTTTTTTATATATAGTAGGATATAGTAGGATTGGCATGCGCCGGAAGTTCCGCTAGCCTATATCATCGGGCAGAGAGCGCCATTTTCATTTTTTGTCATCGGAAATCCAAACATTATGCAAGGTTAAAAGGCCATCCGCGAGCCACCCGAACAGACCCCAATATGCCTTGGCACAGTTTTTTTCGACCCTGTTTTTTTGACGGCATCGGAAAGAGCATAGTCGACATGACAAATTTGGAAATCGAATATATCAAACCATATCTAGAGAACGAGCTGAATCCATTGCAAAAAAGAGCAAAAAGAAATATTGCTTTTGAAGGGGGGCTGAGATCCGGGGAGGAATCGAACTCGGACCCTTCGCCTGAAAGCCCTCCCTGGGGCCGTGGTGGATTGCATGAGTGCTCGCCCACCAATCCAAGGGCCGCGCCAGTTCGATCCCAGCCCCCCTTCAAAAGCAATATTTCTTTTTGCTCTTTTTTGCAATGGATTCAGCTCGTTCTCTAGATTCGGTTTGATATATTCGATTTCAAAATTGACTATTTTTGAGGTTTTTGACCCATTTGGGGGGCTGTTTTGCGCGCAGTAAATGCTTTATAGCAAGAGTAGGGTTTCTGTCGGCCCGGTATAAAATACCTCATTCGATGTAGAATATTTTTGCGCATCTTTTAAGGGTATTTTCAATGGACCGCCAAGAACCCGTAAAATACAAAACCCTGAAAAACTGTTTTGGGTACGCTATTTAACCATGTTCCGCTCATTTTCGTGCTTTTCGACGTATTAGAGAAATGATCAGCATCCCAAATTAGGTACTGTGCCAACTTTTCAGCCAATTTGGTTCAGTAACTTTCGAGATAATTTTTGAGGGTCGACAACTTTGACTCCAATTTTAACCCTAAAAATTAACTTTTTAAACTTTCAAAACTATGCAGCCCTACTAATTCGACTATGCTCTTCCAGATGCCGTCAAAAAAACAGGGTCGAAAAAACTGTGCCAAGCATTGTTCGGTCCTCTCGCAAACGGCCTTTTAAATCAACGAATCGGCAAAAACCCTCAGCAAACGCCAAGTATGGTTTTTCCATGATTTAATTAAACTCTCAAACCGTTTATCAAGTATAAGACATGTAATAGAATACAAAGAAATGCAATGCATAAAAAATATCAGATTCTAGAGAGGTTTGGCCTTGATTTTTCGGCGCTCCATGATGTAGTGGGCCAGCGAGGGGAGACGATCGTAGGGGATTGCCTAAAGTTCGTTTAGCCGTTGAAGAAGTTAAATGAGGCTCAGTCAAGAATTCCAGCTTTCGAATTACCTTGACGGCAGCGCAGAAAGTCTTCTGAACAAGCCAGCAGGTCGGCTTCTGCCACCAGTGCGCATGGCTGACGGCGGTGCTCATCAAGTCGCAAAAACTGAAAAGAAACGCTATAGTGATGGCCTCTTAAAGTTTTAAATTACCTATCATCACAGTGGCGTTTCTGTTCTGCGGCCTTCTCCGGGCTCCTGGCCTCGTAGCAGACGTCGTGGATGAAGCAAATGCGATTGAAGCGGTCTGGAATGGGATATTGAGTGCTTGCTTCAATGGTTGGACTATGAAAAGCCAGAATAGAGAAAGAGAGAGAGAGAGAGAGAGAGAGAGAGAGAGAGAGAGAGCGCGGGGGCTACCACATACCTTTAATACTACCACACGATGCCCACATAAGCGCCCGGGCCACGTGGGTCGTCCACGTCAGCAGCATCTTCTCGTCGGTCCCGCAGTAGAAATTTCCTTGCGCCACCGCCTTCGCGTACTCCCCGTTCAGCTCGTTTCCTAAAGCGCAACTTTTTGAGCGAAGACTCGATTATGTTACGTTTTTGGCAATCCGGTATGAGCTGCTCGAGGATGATGTCGGAGCCGTCCTGAAAACGATGGGCTTTGTGCGCTTCCATAAATCAGACCTCATCAAGATGCCGATCAACGAGGGTACAGTTATCCGAGTAGGTGGTAGATACAGAATGCACTAGTAAAATCACGAGGACCAGCCGCATTTTGGGATGACAAAATAGACAATGCTGGTTGGAAATGACCGGGTGATGCACGCAAAACCTAGCCGCATGCAAATCGACGGCACTGGGTTATTCACAGTACACGTGAGGGGGTGATCTTTGATAATTGGTCCTCGTGAATTAGGGCAAAGAGAGATAGATTGAGAGAAAGAGAGAGAGGAGGGAAATAGAGAGAAAGATGCTTTTTACTTGCACTACAAATTCTTGCCCGGTTTTAAGCTTTATTAATGCCAAGTAACATCTTTTGCATAATTGGAGCTTCAATTCGCTTTTAAGAGCTTCTTCTTGCCGAACACGTCGTAGAGAGGGCTCTATAACAAATTTTCTCAGACGCTCGAATTTATAAAAAAAACGAAATCAACAGTGCTAGCTCACCTTAACTGCCGTACAGAAGGTTACAGCCAGGTCGACGCATTTTCCTGCATCCCTGGCGGCCGCTTCTAGTAGTATATGGCAGAAACTAGGTCAAAATTAGGTTGTTGGTTTTTCGCGCTAGAAATGGTGTTAAAAAACCTATAAAAATTTACTCTTCATCACAAATTTCATGCCTCTTCTCCATCAGTAGATCCCTGTCCTGCAGCTTCTCATAACAGACATCGTGGATGAAGCAGACGCGATTGAAGAATTCTAGAAATATGGCTATGCCACGAGTATTACAAACTATACACTTTCTGCATTCTGTAGTAATTCTCACTTTCCGTGGCCTCACTGCAAAGCGACTTGCTTAACGCTTCAGCGACGTCGTCCGTAAGTTGCCACTTTTCCATTCCGCACCAGAACTTGCCGACGCGCTAAAAATGTACGTGCAGCTATAGCTTAACGATGAATCAAAGGAATTCTTGACAATCCATACCTTAACAAACATTGCGTTGTAGGCATTGACTAAACTTAAATTTAATACCATTGCTCTTTTTAGGGCTTACGCATTTCGCAGTTGCCCTTCACAGTTTTCTTTAGGAACTCATCGCTTCCGTACTTTAAAATTTGGCTTTAGTAACAACTCCTGCCATTTTTCGTTACCTGGTCCACTTGGTAATCGGTTACGGTACAATCTTCGGCAAATGCGGCATATAGGATCGAGCTGAAAAGGAGCCAGCCAAATCGGCACATATTGAAAAGTAAAGCCAGACGTTGCGGGAGCTGATTATATACCAAGCCTCAAAAATAGCAAACTTATTCCGTAAAAATTTTATATTGCTTTTATTAATGTTTTTTTTGGATTGAATGATCGTCTCTCTACTTTCTCCCTTTCACTCTTCCTCCTTCGAGCCATAGGAATAGCTCTGATGCCGATGTACGTCTTCGTTTTGCCGGCTTCATCGCCGTGAACATTAGATGGACACACTGGTATCATTACCGCGACCTCTGCGTCCCAATTCACGCAGTAATGATAGTAATAGGCGCAATTCATAAATACCGGCGGAACCCCCGGGAGGGCCAGCGCTGAACCCCCGCGCAGCGGGGGGTCAGCGCTGGTCATACACAAAATTGATGTTTTGAACGACGCTATCGACTTCCCTACTCAATTGCCACCAATGTATGTATTTGTATTTAGTGTATTTATCGAGTCATGATTTTATCCGCCCAAATACACGAAGATTGCAGATCCCTATAATTGCTTTCGATGGGCCACCGACGGAAGTTTGACGTATTTCTTCTCGCCTTTCAATTTTACCCACCAGTCGTAAAAATTTTGCTGAAATTTTTAGCGTGTTTAGCCAACATATGGGCAGGAGTTTTCTCTTTGATAACGCTGCAAAACTCCGAATCTACCTGCACAGCCCAGCCAAATCCAGCGCCAGCGCCGATGCAGGCAAGATCCTCCCAAGGTTCACCGCTGCTTGATGCCGCGACCGCTTTGTCAATGAGAGAACAAAACCTCGAAAAGGAAAATTTTTCAATAAGGCTCAAGGAAAAACGCTGGGACCGAACGTTGTTAAAGAATTTACTGCTTGTCGCACTTCTGGCCCCTTTCCTTCGATAACTCGCTTCGAGGTATTGAGTCGTAGCATTTGTCGTGGATGAAGCAGATGCGGTTCATTCGCTCTGGCATACAAATTCTATACCGCTTACGTTCATGCAATCCAGTTGCCATAAACCGATTCGCGTATGATGATGCGTGTAATTTTGCTCACAAAACTTACTTTCAATCGATTCCTCGCATACACTTGCAGCATATTTGGCGGCATCCTCTAGTACCGACAGCCCCTCGGGGCCGCACCAAAATTTGTCGGGCTGCTGGAAATCGACTGCTCAATATGCCGGCCAGTTTTTAGATAGAAATATAAGATATAACCAGGGTTGAAAAGCCGCTTCGCGACTTTTCAACCCAGGCTCCGTCTCGGACCCCATAATATTCTGCTCTTTTCATAATTGTCCTCCATTCAGAAACAAAAAAAAAATGAAAAGAACCCTTTCTGCCTCTTTATATAGGCGACCATCCACTTCCGCTCTATGCTAATTATTCCTAACAAAAAGGTTTTTACAAAAACCTAAATTTAATAGCGAAAATGGCTAATTTTTAAAAATCTGATATGTGTGCAGTCATCCCTAGACCATTACGCAACTAATGACGTATCATACGTAGCCTAATACCCGTCCCTTCTGGAGATATCCTCCGGACAGACAGACGGAAGTGGATGCAAAGTGGCACACACACACAAACACACACACAGACACTATTTTTTATATATAGTAGGATAATAAAATATAAGATATCATCTTAAATATAGGCTTAACAGCTTACCGCCATGAATTCGGCGTTGTAAGCGTTGACTAAAAATAATTGATCTGGGCCTCTACGGGGTTCCTACTTCTCTCACAATCCCCGCCGGCAAGTGCGGCCAAGATGATATAGCTTTGATCCTGAAATTCTACGTATATTTATTTCCGACAGTATTACGTCATCTAAATGGCGTTCCTTGATCGTACAGTTTTTCGCAGCTACCGTAAGCCCGAAAAGAAAGCCGAACCACGGCAGACGCGACATTGCAAAGTGACTGTCTGCTGTTTGGACGCCTTTTTAAGCCAGAATATCGTTTCGATGCGCATTTATTTGAAGTCACGGCCTAGAATAGGCGAAACGCTTTTGTGGGCGATGCAGGCTCAATTTTGTAAAATTTGCAACGCATATTGCATATAGAAAGGAGCCCCAGAAGAAGCGTAAAATTTTAAAATTCTGAATTCCGAACCGCTTTGGAAACACTAGCCTCACGCGGAAAATATCATCGCGAGCATCTCGTCCGGGTATCCTTCCTCTTACTCGAGCTGCCAATTACCTAGGGAAAGTGGATGTGCATCCAAAATCAGACCAATTTGCCAGGAGGAGGGGTTATGCCCCAAGCACTTCCGGACGACCCGGAGGGCTTTTTGTTATATCCGGACTATTTTACAGCTTTCAGTGTATTTAGTGGTTTGCGAGGAATACGATGTGTCATGCAAGGAGAGTGATGGAGAGAGAGAGAGAGACAAAGAGAGAGAGTGCGTGAGAGAGAGAAAGAGAGAGGCAGAGAGGGAGGGAGAGAGAGAAAATGATAGCTAGAGAAAGATATGCGTTTTTTCCAAATTTCTAATATATCTTTCCTTCTACCACGTTTCCATCCAATTTACATGAACTCCCCTTATTATTGGCATGTCCTCCGACCAGCTCCTCACGACGCTCGTAATTTAGCCCCGCATCCCGCTATTGTGTTATTAGTGAAAAGGCAAACCCTTTTTGCATCCCTTTTTTGCTGGGCGTTCCCCTCCCTTTTCACGGCTGTAGACCGGATCACATGCCTCCCGGGGTGGTCCTCCCGATTACTTCTCTTCACTTTATAATCACAGGGCAATTATTACGTGTGGAAGTCGCAGTTTTTACTCGCGCCGCGCGTTTACCCCCCGCCCGAGAAGCGGCAAAAAATGGAAGATGTAGGGGTTGTGGAGCTTCGTGGGGTGGAACACTTGAATATTACATGTTCTTCAGGATTCGTGTAGTTTGATATGGAGAACATAGTGTATTATGGAGTTTCTGGAACTGCAAATAACCGCGAAAAATTGTGGACATTTTGCGAAGGTTTCGTGGAAACACAGCTCGGACTGTAATTATTGTTTCTATTGATTTATCACCTAACCAGGGTTGAAAAGCCGCTTTGCGACTTTTCAACCCTGGCCCCGTCTGATCGCATGATACACTTCACTTTGCATAATTCTTGGATTTCCGATGACAAAAATGAAAACCGCGCTCGCTAGCCCATTATATAGGCTACCGGAACTTCCGGCGCATGCTAATTTTTTCCTAACAAAGAGGATCGCCGATTTTCCAACAAAATCTTAATTTTAATGTCGAAAATAGGCAATTTTGATAAATATGATCTGCGTGCAGTCGTCTCAGGGCCATTACGCACCTAATGACGTATCGTACGTAGCCTAATACCCTTCCCTCTTGAGAT